AATTTGGATACCAAGCTATTGATGAGCTTGAATCTTAATTCATTTGCAAGCGAACTTTAATTTGTCCAAAGGAAGGGGGAAAGATCTAAATACCCACAATGCAATGCACATGCAAAGGTTAGAGAGTTATAGGTTCGGGGGTTGGTTAAACTTAGGGAAGGTACTAGCATTCTAAGTTTCTGTAGTACTCTACAGGAACCTTTTATTTTATGTTTGTTTTATTGCTAAGATTTATCTGCTTAATGGATGAAAGACCTAGGGATTTATTTCTAAGTATACTCGACAAGATATCGCATCTTGTGCCTACATATCCTGACGGGAGTGAAATCAGAGTATCTGTAGTTCCCCTAAAGGGTTTGAGGAGTTCTTTGACTGTGGTCAAAGTTCCCACGGGATAAAGGTAGTTGATTGATTGATTTTAGGAGAAAAGATGAGTTGTCATTTTAAGGGAGATTACTTGATTTAACCACCACAACTTTGTAGGAAAATAGTCTTTGCATCATCTTAGGAGAAGGGCTCAAGTACTCAGATTGTCAACAAGTACGCCTCTATCTCTCCTAAGGGAAAGTCCCTACATATTGATTGAATTGTTATGGGGTAGGATTTTTATCTCACTTAAGATGATTAATATCTTATTCTCTAATGTGTTTGAATAGTTTGAAGTGAGTTGATTTGTTTTTCCTATGTTGTAAAAGATGAAAGAGAAAGTCCTTCCTATGAGGTAGGATCTATCCTAAAAGATCAACTTGAATGGGATCAAGGATCAATGGGGAGTATGATGCAAACGAGATGCATACGCACAATTGTTTAAGTTATGTGCAGGTTCTTCCTTTGGACGCTTATGCAATGCGATAAAATAAATAGTGGTAAAGATAAATAGCGGTAAAGTAAAGGCAAATAAGTAAGAACATACATAAACGCATGAAAGCGCTAAAGTGTGTGAATTGTGAGTGTGCAAACGGATCGGAGACGAAAGCATGCACAATTAAATTTTATGCGGCGTTGATTAACTTGAGATTATCAATCTTAGTTGAATTATACTTATGGGAAAGTGATACCTTCTGGTGAAGTTGATTTTAAAAAAATATATTATGTTGTGAGATTGATTTTTAAAAAAATTGTATTATTTTGTTTTAAGAAAAAGTTGAATTAGATTATATGGATCAATTTTATGAGAAAATTATTCTAATTGGTCTTAGTAAAAGTTGGTGTGAATTGGTTTTATTCTTAGTGAAAATTAAATCAAGGTTGTGCATTAATTGATTTGATAGAAATAAATTTAAGTGGAGATTTCTTGAAAAAGGTTTCTCATTGGACATGTTAGTTATAAAAAAGGTTTTATTATTAAAATTGTTTTAGTCATTAATAAAATTAGGTTATTTAGAAAAAGGGGTCTTTTAAAATTATAATAGAATAATTATTTATTTTAGTAAAATAAAAGGCTTTTTATTTAGAACATGAGAAAAATTATTAAATGGATTTACTGAATTGATAATATAAATAAATTAATACTATTGAATTATTAATAACATTGAGAAAAGTCAATTGTAAAAAAAAAGGTTTTGGTTAAGACTAATTACATAAAATGGTTAATTAATTAATTAGATTTAAAGATTAATTATCAGGTTGATTAGGGTGAGATTAGGGTGAGTGAGTTAATTGTGGATTAACGGTTAATGGAGTGGTTAGGGAGAAAAGGATTGTGTGCACAGGCGTACAGGGCTTATGGTGTGCTGTGATACGGAACGTGCAAAGTGGATCCGTTGGAGATCCAATGGCTCGTGTGTGAGGGTGTATCATAGTGTCGGTGGGTGTGCAGTTACTGGATTACTATAAAAAATATTTATAATCAATATTTATTAAAATTCATCCATCACCATTTAATATATTTTAGCTATATGAACATTATTACCCATTAATTAAAATATTAAAATAAAATTCATTTGAATCATCAAAAATTAATTTATTCTCTGTAAAAAAAAATTTCTTTTATGTGTGATACTAACAAAAGAAACCAAATCTTGATAAAATATTTACAATAAACTATATTTAAAGTTGTTCACAATTAAATTTAATAATAAAATAATAAATATTTAGATTTTGTATTATTATTGAAAATTGAAAATTACATATGAAAATAAATGTTATGTTATTTCACTTGAATATTAAAAAAATAATAGATATAATATTTTATCTCAAATATTAATAATACATAATAAAATGTTACAAAAGTAAAATATTTTCTTTTATAAATACTTTAATAAAGACGTATATTTTTATTATAAATATTTATACTATTTTTGAAAAATATAACACACGAATTAATGACGATAAAATAAATTATTTTTTAAATCATGAAAGATAATCAATTAATTGATGGACTTGAATTTATTACATATTAAATTAATGACAATTTGAAAACTAAATGAAGAAACTTAAACAAAAAGGCCATGAATTAAAATGTCCTTTATGTGAAACACATTTGAAGTATCTAAAATCAAGATTAGACATTTACAATCATAAATCATCTTATCAAAAAATTATTATTAATATATAGGATAATTCTTACATGTTAAGAGTTAAATATAGAATTTTTTAATTGAAAATTATGGAGTGTTTTTATTAAAAATTTATAATTAATTGTTTCATTGCTTTTGCAACAAAAAATTCTAATTTTAAGATTTATTAACATGTGCCCTTAGGGCACAAGTTAACATTACTCTTTAATATCATATACAAAAACATATAATCACAGGTTCAAGATAATGCTAAAAGTGTGCGATAAAACCGCTAAAGCGACTTTGACGTATCTAGAGACACAAAGCTACTCAATACAACCGCTCAAATGTACTTCACATATTATCCTCTAATGATGAGTTACTTCTCATACACAAATTAAAGACTCTAAAATCCATTAAAGCAAAATAAAGAAACAACAAAACCTCGTCTAAGAAAAAAATAACCAAAAACTATAAAAATTTATTCCAATTTTGACGACGTCTTTCATGTTTTAACATTTAATATGATGTTTCACCTTGCATTTCCATTATTCATAAATGTATGACTTTTCAATTAAAAGTATACCAATTTCTTTTGTTATGCTAATGTTTATTATTTATATTATGAGTTTTTATAATAAATAATATGTTAGAACAATATTTGTTCATAACATATATCCTTTGGATTTTGATGAAAACAAAGTATTTAAAGAACTATGGTGTTATCGAATGTATGTTCTAAGTATGCAGGTTCCAGAGCTAAAAATGAATTTATTTAAAATCTGATAAAAGAACGCATTTGAGAGAAGTTGAGTTATTGGCATCTAATGGTTCAGAACTGGTGCACGTTATTAAGTGAAGTTTAATGATATAGGTTGACGTATACTCTAAAGCCAAATGTATCAGAATTAGAATAGCAATATATTATCTCTACACTTATTGAGGGTATCAGCTTCTAGTGATCACTCAGAATCAGACTAAACTAAGTTAATCGTATTGCATAAAGCAAGCTACATTGTCAAATGAGTTTATCAGCTAGAGTCTGTGCTCACATGACTCAAGAAGAGTTTACATGCTTTACGAATATCTACTCTCAACGAATCTATAGTACAATCTCACAAGGAAGATGTTATGGTTAAAAGAGTTACACAATGGATAAAGATCTTTTTGTGTATCTATCTTCAACATCTCTTTGTACTATAGAGTAACAAAGTCACTTGTACAAGTTATCTCTTCCAACGGCTATTCTTCTATAACTTCTATACACTAGTAGAAAAATTACTTTTTAGTAAAGGTTGTTAAGTCAGTTAACTTACCACCTGACTTAAGATGCGATGCAGTGGCAATTTCGTAAATATTTGTAACTTAGTTAGGTCGGGTGCATTTAAAATAAATTTAACAAAAATTAAATAAAAAATATACAATTCACTTTAAATTTCTTAAGTCATATGTGCTTACTAACTGACTTAAGAAATCAATTTATTAAGTTAGGTGTCTTCTACCTAACCTAAGAAGTTTTATTTACTTGAAACAAATTAAATTCTATGTGCACCAAAGGGAATCGAATTTGGTATCCTTAAACAAACTAGAAACCCTAATCAGACTATCCTTCCTCCAACGCCGTCCCAATGCCTTCTTTCTCACTTTGCGATCTCCTCGTCTTCATCTGGAATTTCGCGGTTTCTCCGTTCTTGTTCTCCTTGTTGCTTTGCGCCTTGGTGGTTAACCCGCAGCTCAACAAAGATCAAACATGCAAAAGTGATTTGAAGAAAACAAGCTTATACCCAAGAATAGGAGTCGGCGGTGGCTCGTTAACGGTGGCGGTGAGGCGATGATGAATCCTTGAGGATGATTTGAGCCTCACAGCGGTGATGAGTCTCCTCCGGTTTGAGCTTTTCTGCTTCTCTTATAATAGCGGCTTCTTTCGTGATTTTTTTTCCAATTCCTTTTGTGGGTTTTTCTTCGCTGCTTTTGTTGATAGATTCTTGCTCTGAGTTGATTCTATCTAATGTTCTTCTTCTTCTCTTTTTTTAGCGGGAAAGTCTACGCCTTTGAATTCAGATGCTACTTTAATCTTGAGCCTGCTGAGGAAGATTTTGAACCGGCAGTGATGACGCTACATCTGAGCTGAGAGACCTATAGTCACCGTTGCTTCCATTTTGTTGCCTGAGTTTCCTCTGTTACTATGTTATCTCTGAGCTAGGTAGGAAGTTGGTGACGGTCTCCGTTGCTCTTCCGGCTGCTCGGGTTCTATGCTCGGTAATGAGATTTAAAGTTTTGAGGGCTTGAACCTCCTTCATTATATTTTAGGCTTTCAGTTGATCTTTGCTACTGATCTGTCTTGCTTGATGGTGACTTCATCAGGGAGGTGATGTATGTTGGAGTTGATCCTTACGGCGAGGTCTCTTTAAAGGCTTGCCCATTTTGGTCTTAATTCTGCTATTGCGTTTGTTGCAATCTATTATGCTTCTTCTGTGTTCTGCAGGGAGTAGCTGACAAAATATGATGGAGGTTGTGATTATTGTTGTTGTTGCTACACTTGGGAATCTACTTAATGGATGGGAAAGTTCAACCATTGCAGGTTTCTGTTTTTTTCAATCCTTTCTCATTTACTTGTATAGTATTTTCAGTTTAAAATGTATATATATGCCAGTTCTGCAGGGGCTATGACCTACATCAAACAAGATTTTGAATTAGAAAAGGATCCATCACTTGAAGGGTTGATTATGTCAATGTCTTTTATAACTGCAACTGTTGTCACCATATTTTCTGGAACAATCTCTGATATGGTTGGAAGAAGACCTATGTTGATAACATCTTCTGTTATGTTTATCATTGGTGGTTTGGTAATGTTGTGGGCTCCTAAAGTTACTGGTATTCTCTTGTCAAGGATTATCAAAGGCGTGGCCATGGCTCTAGTTGTTACTTTTAATCCACTTTACATATCTGAGATAGCACCACCTGATATTAGAGGACAATTGAACACTCTTTCACAGTTTTCTTGTTCTGTTGGAATGTTTTTGGCTTACATTCTTGTTTTCTTAATGTCCTTGATGTCGTCGCCTAGTTGGAGAGTTATGTTTAGTGCTGTTTCTATTCCTTCTGTTGTTTATTTTTTGTTGACTGTGTTTTACCTCTCTGAACCTCCTTGGTGGCTTGTAAGCAAAGGTCGAATCCTTGAGGCTGAGAAAGTTTTGAAAAGATTTCGCCGCGTTGATGATGTCTCAGGTTACACTTAATTAGCCTTTGCTTGTTTTGTTAGCTTTATGTTTTCTATAACACAACTGATTAGGAATCTACTGTCTTTGATTTATAGGGGAGATGGCTTTGCTCGCGGAGGGTCTCAGTCCTAGGGGTGAAGACATATCCATAGAAGAATATGTGGTTGCTCCAGCTAGTGAGATCCTTATCAACCAAGAAGCAGTAAAAAATTTTGTATAAAAGTATATGGACCTAATGAGGGAGTTATAATGATTTCTCAACCTGTGAATGGGCAAGGTAGCATGCTATTGCATAGTATGTTGTCTCGGCACGGAAGCTTTGCATCTCAAGCAACTGCTAATCTTAAAGATCCTATTGTCAACACAAGTCTGAACCGTGAGGGAAATGAGGATGTCGTTGTTGCTTCGATGTTGTTTGTGCTTTGCATTATGTCGAACGCAGTCTGAAACTAGTTGCTCTTTTGTCTGGAATTCAATTTTTTTCGATGTTCAGTAGGGAGTCGGTGACCATTTTAATTGTCGCCCTTCGGCCCGCTCGAATTTATGCCCAATGATGAGTTGAACTGAGGGTTGAGCTTCTTCTAATTCTTGACTTTTAACCTCCAAACTCCTTCTACAATGGTTTATTTTAATTATCAGTTGTGTTGTTTTGACAGGTTGGAGTGTGAGCCTCGAAAGGATAGCCATGAAGCTTTGTCGAGTTTTCCTTGAAGTCCTCAATATCTGAGCATTCCTTAAGTTTGTACACGTGTTGTTCTTAATGTTTTATTTTTGTCTTTACAAGTTTTGTAATGAGTTGAAAACTTATCAAACCAATGTGCTTATTGCAGGATAATGATGGTTGTCAAAAGTAAGATTTTGTTCTCAACTCGAGATACGACTCGATCTTCTCAGAAATTATGCAGGAGCTTTCTTCAAAACTTGTTTCATGGATGGTTTCGGTTTATGCTGGTGGAAGGTACATTCTAAGTCTGAATGATACCTTGATCCCTTATTGTCGTGAAGGTTGCGAAGGCATCGTTCGAGTTGGGTCAGCGGACACTCGGAGTTGTTTTGTGATTGTTCAAAGTAAAGCTTACGAAGTTGTGACGAGTGAAGTCGTGGGCGTGGTACGGGTCAATAACGTAAGATGATTGTTCTGTTGTATGTTGTTTGCTGCTGTATTCGGTATCCTCACCAACATATTCACATATTCCTCTATATTTGTGCAGGAACTCTGGTCTTTGTGGATTCAATGAGCTCTCTTGCGTGATTTGCATGCGGATGCCTGTGGCTCCATTGAGTTATTGCCACCATCCGCCAAAAATTGTTATGTTCTGAAATTTGGCGGTAAGCAAATGATTCATGTCATGAATAAGTGAGAAAACAATTGCCATTGATTTTTATTCTTGCAATTGGTTTGGCATTCTGATATCGTCTGCCGTCAGCTGTTACTGAATCTTCATTGTTTGTTCAAATGTAGGTGATTACCGCGAGATATACCAAGCACCATAGCAACATGTATTTCGCTCAACGGAGTCCTTGGGACTGCTTCAATGCGAAAAGCCTATTCAAACAAATGATCGCTTGTGTTTCTATGGATTTCGTAGGATTTACGTAATGGCTTATTCCTCATGTAACAACTTACTTAGCTTTAGAAATTTTCATAATTGAGTCCCGTTTTCAAGCTGTAAATTTCGGATACAACTTGCAATTTGTAAAAACTGTGAATTTGGTTAATAAATCAAATTTAGCAATACTGGCTTTACATTGTTATGAACTTCCAACCTTCCAATCTTTAAAATATTTTGATTGTTAACCGATTCTTATATATATATATATATATATATATATATATATATATATATATATATATATATATATATATATATATATATATATATATATATATATATATATATATATATATATATATATATATATATATATATATATATATATATACACACACACACACACTAAAAAAAGTGTTATTACAAAAAAAAATTGACTTGTTAGGTCAGTTAAATATATCTGAAAGCCAAGACTTATTAAGTCGGGCGCTGTTTAATTGACTTAATAACATTTTCTTAAGTCAGGTCTAAATCCGACTTAAGAAGTCAAAACTTTTTATGTCAACAATTCTTAAGTCAGGTTCGGAACCGTCTTAAGAAGTCATTTTTAACCGACTTAACAAGCATTTTTTCCACTAGTGATATAAGTAGCTGAAGATTCAATGTGGAATCATCAATGAAAAAATAAAGAAAATGAGCCAAGAAGAAAAGGAGTGTTTCACGCTTCTATCAGAATGGAAGAATAACAAAATCAATAATGGCAACACCATTGAGTATGCATAATTTGTGTTATAGGTCGTAAATTGTACAAAGCCTTAAGATTTCTTAAACATTGAATATCTTAGAAATCTTAAGATTTATGATCTTTGTTATGGTTATTTACTTGTACCTATGATTATATATCAAGTACACCTTGTTGTCTATTATGCTAAACAGGTTGTTTAGTAGTTTAGAAAGAAAGTCTCTTGTTATGTGCTTGAGCATCAAAGTCTCTTGCTATGAGCATGATCCAAGTAAGTCTCTTGCTATGTGCTTGAGAGTTGAAGTCTTTATCATATTGTTGATTAAGAAAAAAGTCTTGGATTGAAGGTCCAAGCAAGGAAGTCTTGGATTCGTGGAATCTATGTAGGAAAATCTGGTACTCGAGGGTATGAGCAGAAGTCTTAAATCCGTGAGATTTAAGCAGGAAAGTCTTGAATCTGTGAGATTTAAGCATGAAAGTCTTAGGTTGTGAGTCTGAGCAAAAAATTCTTGTACTTGCAGGTATAAGCAGGAAAGTCTTAGGATCTAAGGATCTAAGCAGAAAGTCTTGATTAGGTGTTGATTTAGCATACAAGTCTTAGGCTGTAGGTCTGAACAAGAAAGCATTATGCTCGAGGGCATAAGCTATTGTAATCATGTTTTGATTATAGTGAAAAATCTATTGTGTTGTAAGGGGTCTGGACTATTCACAGTTTGGGAGGAATCAGGATAAATCTTTGTGTGTTCTTTTGTTATTTACTTGCTTCTGTTATTATTTCGCTGCAACTAATTATCAGAATCTGAACAGTAGTTTACAATCTGAACTATGTTCATAAGCAAAGCAAAAATGGAGAACACAATCCAACCCTCATTCTTGTGTATTTTTCTCACCTTCATAATATATACAATAAATAACGTTTTATTTTATTTCAACGACTTCTATTTACCATCTGCACGATCTTTTTTACCATCCGCGCAGGTCTTATTCTAATTACTTATGAATTTAAAAGTAATTTTATTAAATAAGAAATTAATATAAAATCTTATTGGATAAAGGATAAATTAAACTCATGGTTATAAATTGTGGGTCGCATGTGATGCAGATCGAATATTGCGTCTGCGATAATGACTGCATCCGCATCAGGCCACACTTGCGTTGTATTAATCGTAAATCACAATTAAAACCGCATCATAACGCTGCAATCGCCATGTCATAACACCAGAACGGCCACATCAAACTGCATTAGACCACTTCAAGTCGCAAGAGATTATAAAATGCTCGTAAAAGTTACTTGATTAGCAATAATAATGATGGAGGACTCTCTATATAACTTAGTCTTAACTCTTAAGGTGCGTGGATACTCATCGATCAATTATACTACAGTTACAGGTTTCTTTTTGTTTTGATTCCACTATGGTTGGATGGTTCATGTTCAACTACATGTATTGATTGAGTTTGAAGATAGAGTTACAGTGAAATAGTATATCCAATAGTAATGAATAATGACATGTTTTTGCTGTCTTTTCAACCCATAAAATGAACATGACTGTTGATATATAATGATCATTAGATACCAAATTTTATTCTCCTCGTCTTATATCAAGAATCCGAAGGCTATTACAGTATTTTACAAGAACCGTTTGTTCCTTATTTTTCTGTCTTTTCAGTGAGAATATCAACGGTACATATATCTCGAATAAAGTCAAGTAAAAATATCCATTAAAATGTCAACAAAGTTTGAACAAAGCAAGGGATTTTACACATTCTCGCATTCGGAAGTTTTTAACCGTTGGATCTTGATCCAACAATTTAAAATAAAAATAAAGTATTGTTATTTTATAATTTAAAATATTACTTTTGAATTTTAACTATCTAATTATGACCAAACAATTATCATTTCTTCAAATACGTGATTACTTGAATGTGACTTTTAGAAAATTATCGTCAGCCGACATTAGCATCTTTAAGATGAACTATCACAAAATTGAATGAAATGATCTATAGTCAATTGGCAATGCGGCAACATTTATAATTTTTATATCAGAAATTGTATAAATTTTAAAATTTAGAAGGTCCAATTGCATTCTAACAATCAAATTTGCAAAATATGTAAAATGTTAATGTAAAAATATTTTAAAAATTGTAAAAATTTAAGTGTATTTAATATGTAAAAAATTATTAAAAATTGTAAAAGTTTATATATATATATATATATATATATATATATATATATATATATATATATATATATATATATATATATATATATATATATATATATATATATATATATATATATATATATATATATATATATATATATATATATATATATATATATATATATATATATAAAGTTAGTTTGAGTGCTTAAAAATTATCATTTAAATTGTTGTTGTTGTGGGTTCGAGTACCTTTGTTCTCGTTTAGTTTTATCATTGCCTATTAAAAAAATTACTGAACAGTAAAGAATCAGTATAGAAATACACTCTTAAATAATGATTGTTAGATCATCGTAAGTAATTCTCCGAATTAGAGGAAATCTGAATAATTCTCATAGGAAATTTAATAATGGTCGTTTGACCACCCTAAATAATTTCTCAGATGAAGTGAAATTCAAATAATTTATCAAAGAGAATTTAAATATGGTCGTTTGATCACCCCAAAAAATTTCTCGAACGAGGATAAACTCAAATAATTTTTCAAAGAGAATTCAAGAAATATTCGGAAGATTCAACGAGTAAACGAAAAAATATGAAGTTGACGTTTCGACAAGTTGAAAAATCAGAGTAAAGAGAGTGAGGAAGTAAAAAGCTAGAAGTATTTTTTGTTGTGTTTTGAAATGAAACATTTGCATTCCTTATATAATGAAGTAAACTAATCAAGATATATAATCTAAACAATGTTAGACTTTGGATTTTTTTT